TGCTGAGTTGAGAGAACAGCAACTTTTAAACAGAGCGTGCACGAGGAAAAATGGGCTCATGCATGCTCTCGCAGGCGGGCTTTTAAGAAAGTGCTCTTAAATATTGTAAAAAGAAAAATATTACTTCTCATGAGAAACACTTTGAAGTACTTATTCATTTTTCTTTAACAGAAAACTGGATTCCTGTTGCTAACTTCGACACCTGTTTGAGAGATAATTTAGCAGAGCTCTCCCTAAAGATGAAAACAGAAACCGCTGCGGTCAATTGAAGAGCTGAGTGTGTGAGCCATCACATAAACATGTTCTCTCTGGACTCCTGGCTGCAAAGCACATTTTCACACGATTGCTCCCTCTGCCAGTTAACACAGATAGGTAGAGCATGTGGGGGTGTGCTCTGATCATCTCAGTCATTTACAGCCTGATGTCAAACACATCTGAACATGTTCTGCAAACTCTGCAGAGCTGGAGGTCATCTTGACTTTTCATCTTTGATTTAAGTTGTGAGAACTGTGAGAAGAGCTGTAAAAACTTCATTTGGATCATCAACCCCACGTGCATAATGAGACACTGGCTTTGTGAAAACACTTCTGAAACAGAGAGACACATTCACTGCCCTCTAATGGGGAAAAACCCACAGCCTTTGGGCTAAATGTGTAATTGTAGTCAAAATGCTTTAATAATCTTAAGCTTTGCATTTGTTAATTGTCAACTCATACATACAGTGAGGAAAATAAATATTTGAACATCCAGCTATTTTTTAGGTTCTCCCACTTCGAAATCATGGAGGGGTCTGAAATTGTCACCCTAGAAGCATGTCCAATTTGTGAAACAAAATCCAGAAGTCACAATAAATTATTTTTTAAACTATTTATTCGTATGACACAGCTGCTATAAGTGTTTGAATACCTTTCTATCAGCTAGAATTCTGACCCTCAAAGACCTGTGAGTCTGCCTTCAAAATGTCGCCCTCCACTTTATTTATTATCCTAATTTAGATGCACCTTTTAGGTCATTAGCTGCATAAAGACACCTGTCCACTCCATACAATGAGTAATAATCCAGCTACAGTACTAACAAGGCCAAGATCAAAGAGCTGTCCAAAGGCACTAGAGACAAAATTGTACACCTCCACAAGGCTGGAAAGAGCTACAGTATGGGGAAATTGCCAAGCAACTTGGTGAAAAAAGGTCCACTGTTGGAGGAATCATTACAAAATGGAAGAAGCTAAACATGACTGTCAGTCTCCCTTCGGACTGGGGCTACATGCAAGATCTCACCTCGTGGGATCTAAATGATCCTAAGAATGGTGAAAAAATCAGCCAAGAACTACAAGGGAGGAACTGGGACAACCGTTTCCATGGTTACTGTTGGTAATACACTAAGATGTCATGGTTTGAAATTATGCACTGGCGTGGAAGGTTCCTCTGCTTAAACCAGCACATGTCAAAATCCATCATAAGTGTCTAATGATCATTTGGATGAACCAGAGGAGTCATGAGAGAAAGTCATGTGGTCAGACGAGACCAAAATAGAACTTTTTGGTCATAATTTCACTAACCGTGTTTGGAGGAAGAAGACTGAAGAGTACCATCCCAAGAACACCATACCTACTGTGAAGCATGGGGGAGGTAGCATTATGCTTTGGGGTGTTTTTCTGCAAATGTTACAGGGCACTGTATTAAGTAGTGGATGACCGGGGACATGTATTGCCAGATTTTGGGGAACAACCTCCTTCCCTCAGTTAAAGCATTGAAGATGGGTCGAGGCTGGGTCTTCCAACATGACAATGACCCAAAGCACACAGCCAGGATAACAAAAGAGTATCCCTGGAAGAAGCATATCAAGGTTCTAGTGTGGTTTAACCAGTCTACAGACCTAAACCCTATAGAGAATCTTTGGAGGGAGCTCAAAATCTGACTTCCTCAGCAACAGCGCAGAAAACTGACTGATCTAGAGAAGATCTGTGTGGAGGAGTGGGGCAGGAAAAGTTTGACCTATGTTATTGCAAACAAAGGCTATTGTACCAAATTTTAACATTGATTTTCTCAGTTGTTCAAATACTTATTTGCAGTTGTATCATACAAATGAATAGCTAAAAAAATCATACATTATAACTTCTGGATTTTATTTTTTAGATTATGTCTCTCACATTGGACATGCACATACGAAGACAATTTCAGACCCCTCCATGATTTCGAAGTGGGAGAGCTTCCAAATAGCAGCGTGTTCAAATACTTATTTTCCTCACTGTACATGTGAGATCAGATGTTTAATCTATGAGAATACAGGACTAGAAGTTAGGAACACAAGTTACACATTAGAAAACTGAAAAAAATACACAATAAGCATTGAAATTTGCCTCATTAATCTCCATCTAACATAATTTCTACTATTATTGTAAAAAATGATGGCAGTGGAGTTTAAACCATCTTCAACATAAACAGCTGGAGAGCTGAATGTTAGGATAAATCGATAAAAAAAGTCCCTTTCCCCTCTAAAATCATAAAAATAAATCTTTCAGAATTTCTTAAACTATACTGAGATTTTAAGGCCATTTTGTTCAGTTTAATGAGATCAAAAAACAAACACTCCAGCTGCTCTAGCATTAAAAGGTTTACTTTGTGCCTTTGGTCAAGCATGATGAGAACCAGGCACAAGGTGGACCTCTGGTGCTGTGGGTTTGTTGCTCTTCAAAGCTCCTGGGAGCCGTATCACAGTGCATGCAACACTTGGACATACAAGGATATTTGGTTTGAAGATGTGCCGTCACCTATGACATATTACAAACTAAATGATTTTCCTTTGTAAAAAGGCTTGTCCTAAATAATTCCTATTAATGTGGCATGGGCATTTTCTTTTTTACAATAAAGGATTTTAAATTGGGATTATTTTTCACACTGAATAAATGTTCTCGAATTAAAGCTTTTTTCCTAAAAAGATGACGCAAAACCAATAAGACATTACTTTATTTAGAGTAGATATGTTAATAAATAAGAGAGCACGGCATTATACAAACTCAATGAATAATTAAACAACTCTAAAAATGTGATTCAGAAGTTTGGTTAAAATTGTCCATCAAAAATTTTACGATAGAAATACAGTAAATGGATTGAAAAGGTGTAGATATACTTAATTAACTTTTTACCTCGACACTCCACAGATCCCCGCAGGCTTCCCATCACAAAGCCATCTTTGCAAACACAAACGAAGCTGCCGAATGTGTTCTTGCAGGTCAGCTGCGGTGGACACACATCAGCCTTCTGACACTCATCTACATCTGAAACCAAACACAAACACTTAAAGTAGGCAAAGTGTGTCATGTCTGCTTCTTTTATGACACACTCTTCACTGTTCTTAAAAAAAGGCAGGACAGGGGCCCA